TTATCACATGTTCTGAATATCTTGAGTTCGATTATAGATGAGGTCATCGACACATCATTCAAGAAAGTTCTATACTAGAACAAAAAGTCCTATACGGTGTTGACAGACTAAAGAAGATGAATTCATGAAATAAACTATAAAAACTTTCACTGAGGTAGACACCTGTTTCTACCCGACACGGATTAGCTCCACTTGTCATGGCTTCTCACTAGAACTTCGAGAATTGCTTCACGAAGCTAGTCACTAGTGAACACATGGTAATTATCAGTTTGGGTGTTGTGGAGATTGTTAAGTTTTTGATTGAAATCATGAGTCAATTGAAGATAGACTACCATGGAAAACCTGGAAGCACTGGACGGCCGTATAGGACTTCTCAGCAGTGCGCATCCACGATCCCACACTCCGTTGGATTCGAACCCAGGACCTATAAGTCTCACGCCAGCCGCTTAACCAACTAAACCACTGAGCCAGCATCGACTATCGTAATGGTAAATATTATAGTACATTCTACAATATATACAATGTTATCTAATATTTATGTGATTTTATGTAACAGATAATCTTGAATTACGTAATCTTGATTTCATTTACAATACACAGAAATATATCTTAATAAATCGAAGACATTTAAAGACTGTTTTAACAATCAATCGTTGGTTATTCAACGTAAGATTTGATGTTGATATTCTTGTGTGTATACCAATTTAGTTTATCAAGTAATTATAAGTAGTTATTTATTATTAGAAAGAGGTTTTGTAAAGAGAATAGTTAAATTCATGAGTCCATTCATGCTAGACCGAAGGTAGAAAACCTGGAAGTGCAAGATCGATAGGCACTGGGTTCGAATCTCTCTCGAGAGATTGTGGATGTGTATTGCTAAGGAATTCCATACCAGGACGAAACAGCCGTTCAATGCTTTCACGTTTCATATGGTGGTCTAGATTTAATTGATTCATGAATTCAACTATTAAAGCAATTATTCAGTTGATAGGACTTCTACTAATGCTTCCGTAATCAAATTTTATTATTCTGATGTATTTCATGTTCTTATTAGGTTGATTGTTTGATATTTGGTATCTGATAATACAATATAGGTAACGTCAGAGACGTTACCACTGAGCTATCCAGGCCGCGACCGACCTCCTGTAGGACTGAGATGTAATCACAATTGGAGCTGGGTGACATGGGAACGAATTCACCAGGGAGCACCAGTTCCCTCAAGATTACAGGTACACCTTGCTGATGAGTGCCAAGTAGCATGAAACCCGGGTCCAGGGTTTCCTGTCGACTACCTCCAACCACCATCTAATCTCAATATATAGTGCACGCAGTGTCGAGTCACCTAAACTGGTGGCCACATTGCAACATGATCGATAGCATTCGATTTGCACTAAATAAGAACTTGACACACATGACATTGATCACCACCTAGTGATCAATCAATAGTCAGAGCTTAATAATGTTTTATTATTTCATTATTTTCTCAAATGAACAGAAAAGATAACGGATTATCCAAAAGAGAAATGTTTTGAATTTATACCACACGATGATAAAAGTAATGTTAACATAATAATTCATATAATCCCATACTATTTCACATATCTGAATACTTTTTATTGTTTAATTCATGAGTTAATTGAAGCTAGAAAACCATGAAAAATTGAAAGCAATGGACGACTGTTTCGTCCCAGTATGAAACTCATCAGCGATGAGAAACCATGATCCTGCCTCGTGTGATTCAAATTTAAGACCAGTCGATCTCGCACGCGAACTCTTAACCTTTAGATCACTGAGACGATCAGCATCCAACGGTGTTAATGTCTGATTTCAACTAATCCACGAAATCGAGCGACACATCCACCATTATCATCAGTGAGTTACTATCTCACAACAGACACGGTTGTACTCTACTGGTCTCTGCTTCACAGTAGAACTCCAACAAATGCCTCATGAAGTCAATCACTAGTGAGCATAAGATTATTATCAGAAGTGGGTTTTGTAAAGATTTTTAGTAATTTTATAGTTGAATTGATAAGTCATTTGAATCTAGACCAACATGGATAACCTGGAAGCATTAGATAGCCGTTCCGTCCTAGTCATGGACTCCTTAGCAGTGTAAGCCCACGATCCCGCCTCGCGACATCCCAACCCAGGACCTATCAGTCTCGCGTGTGAACGCTTAACCTCTAGACCATTGAGCCGGCATCCAATGTCTAACTCCAACCAATTCACAAAATTGAGCCACCGTTCACTATTGACATATTCCAATGATTAGGCTTCTTTAACTATGATGTTATACACCATGAATTACATTCATTAACGAGTTACAAAACTTAATACATTACTGGCAAGACTATAATTTATGGACGAATCAATCAGATATAATTTAACAACTCTCGAACTTTGATACAAAATTCATTCATCTATTTGACTAAACAGCATCTTGAAAACCTTAAGTATAATCATCAACTGTAAAACATAATTCTAATTATCAGAATGCAGGCAGGATCGTGGATGCGCACTGCTGAGGAGTCCCATAATAGGGTGAAATGGCCGTCCAGTGCTTCCAGGTTTTCCATGGTGGTTTAGCTTCAAATGACTCATGATTTCAACCACTGATAATTCTAATTCCTTATACATTGGTTTTATAACCTTTATTTAGTCCTAATTATTAGGTGAACACTTTCAAGATCAGTTTAATGTCAGTCGAAAGTCGTCCATAGATTATAATCTCACCACATTACCTATGTGTTCTAATTTATAAATGAGAGAGATAATGACCCCATAAGAGAGTACTTATGATCTCTATGCAAACATCTGAAATATTTTAAGTAACCATGGTAACTAATTAATAAATCAATAATAAATCAATATAAATTGCCGAAAAAATGTATTCTGTTTTTTTTTGTATTTTTTTATAGATACAGATAATGTAATAAATTTTGGAGATAGTGGGTATTTAAATAGTTTCATTGATTCAAGGGCCTTGAAGATTTATTGGATGAATTATATTTCATGTAAGTTAGATACATAGAAACATTCATATTTCAACAGGTTAGATAAACCTTTCAGTAGTCCAGTAGGCTAGACGTTCGCGTGCGAGACTGAAAGGTTCGAATCCTGCGAGCTGGAACGTGGATGCTCAATGCTGTGGAGTTTCACAGTAGGACGAAACGGCCATCCAGTGCTTCTAGGTTTTCAATGGTGGTCTAACATCAATCGGTTCATGATCTTAATCAAAAGCCTGTTATTGTTATATTGAATTGATATTAGATCACAGTTACGATTGATGTATGATGTATCCAAAGAGGATTACCTTGATATTATCCATTATGATATAAATCTATATAGAATAGTTGAATAAAGAAGAAGTATTTTATTTCATTTAAAACACAGTTATATAGATATATTGAATTTATGCTAGTTTCATATTTCTTAACTTTATTTACTACTGTTACTTGATCATTGAGGAGCATAGGTTGCTCACTAGCACTCTTCATCCAAATCTATCCTGGGCAATTCTTTTCATTTGTTATTCAACTTTTTCATGTCTACTTCTATTTCTCGACATAATGTGTTATTCGATCTTGATCTTCTCTGCCTTACTTCAAGATTCCAAGTTAGGGATTGATTCGTGATGTAGCTTAGTAATTTCCTCAATGTATGGCTTATCCATTTCCAACGTCTTTTCATAATTTCCTCTTCTAATGGAAGTTGATTTGTTCTCTCTCACAGTAGTTTATTGCTGATGATATCCAGTCAACAGACATTCAGTATCTTCCATAGACAAGTATTTATAAATACTTGTACCTTCTTGATGATAGTTGTAGTAGTTCTTGAAGTTTCAGCTCCGTGCAATAGAACTTTCTTGACTTTCTTATTGAAGATTGTGACTTTGATATTGGTTGACAGTTATTTTGAGTTCCATATATTCTTCAACTGGAAGAATGCTGTCTTTGATTCGCCAATCTTCGCCCTTACATCTGCATCTGATCCTCCAAGTTTATTGATGATGTTCAGGTACATGAGAAATTCCACATGTTCCAGAGTTTCTCTATCAAACGTAATTGGGTTGGTGTTCTCCGTGTTGTATTTGAGGATCTTGCTTTGCCTTTATGTATGTTGAGGCATGCTACTGAAACACTGTTTGTCTTGACCTTCATTTGTTGGTGTGCATGGGATAGAAGGGTCAAGTTATCTTCAGAGTTCAAATTGTCTAGTTGATTCCGAGCTGTCCATTGTATTCTCTGCTTCCCCTCAGATGTGGAAGGCTTTATAATCCAATCAACCATCAGAAGAAGGAGAAAGGGGGATTAAGCAAACTTGCTTGACTCAAGTTCTTACTTGGATTACATCTGTCACCTGTCCTCTATGCACGACTTTGCAATGTAGTCCATCGTGAGTTTCGGATATTGATGACAATCTTCTCGGGAACTATATAGTGTCCAAGACGTTTCCATAATGTTCTCCTATCTACACTGTAAAATGCTTTTTCATATTTAGTGAAATAAATGTATATTGACAAGTTCCACTCAACTGATTGTTCGAAGATGATCCATAGTGTTGCGATTTGGTCTGTGTGCGACTGATGCTTATGGAATCTAGTCTATGGATCTGAAAGTTGAGCATCTACTGCGTCTTTCATCCGGTTTAGCAACACTCTGTTGAAAGCGTTTAATTCTATCTATGCTAGTGTGATTTTTTTTGTAGTTCTCACATTTGTTTAGATCTTTTTTTTTAGCATCTTCATGAGGTATCCTTCTTTCCAGTTGGTTGACAATTGTTCCACCTCTCAAATTTTCTTGAATAGAAAGTGAAGCATGTTTACTGTTATTTCTATGTCGGACTTTAGTGCTTCAGCTGGTATATTGTCAGGTCTTGTTGCTTTCCCATTCTTGATTTATCTGATGGCCATCTTGATTTCTTCGATTGTTTGTAGAGTGACATTCCGCATTTCACTGTTAGTCATATTTATTCGATTAGATGTGCTCCAATTAAGCATGTATTCTATATATATTTTAGTTGAAAATAAATATCTAACAGAAATTACTAAAGAAATTTCACATCAATCTAAAACACGTAAGTAACAATTCAACCGCATTAATGAACATATCACAGATAAAGTTATAAAGCGTTTGAGTATTTTAAATGTAACTAAAGATTTGCTTAAATTATTATTATTATTATATCTAAATAAATTAATGGGTTTGTAATCATTAAGGCAACTACTCCTGGAGCTCCTCCGGGGGCTACTGCCAGTCCTAAACCTGAATAAAGAAGGAGGGTTGGACATGGGTTTAGCGACTCCATCCTGTAGAAAACTAACTCGCTAAATAAAACGCTAACCAGTAATCGTTAAGGCACTTGAACGAAATCATACTGTATTCGACTATTATGCTGTATAGTTGAATTCATGAGTAAATTAATACTAGAAGATTATTGAAAACCTATAAGCACTGAACGGACGTTTCGTCTAGTGACCAATAGAGTTCAAATAGGTCTGTTGTGAGACAGTAACTCACTGAAAGCAATGGTGGATGGTGGCACAATTTTGTGGATTTGTTGAGTCGGCTTTCGGAGAACTCCAGAGGCCCGAAAGGAGCCGAAAAGTCTTAGCCAATCAGAGTATGATGGAGCATTCTAGAATTCCAACGTGGCGTGCTACTATTGGTCAGTATCATAATATGTCGCTAACGGATTTGCCGAAATATGATTTCGATTTAACAATCGTTAACATCTATGAATACCCATGTTTTCTGTACAAAAACGAACCTTGGAGTAAGGTGTCTGTCTCATACTTTTGCGTCTTCTTTCTTGTGTTCAGGTCGCTGTATAGTTCTAGCATGCGGGTTATCAGAATAGCTTAGGAACGAATATAGCGTCCAATCAACAAGACTTAACAGGATTAGTTAAAATTAGACATTCACACTATTAGATGTCAACTCAGTGGTCTAGCGAGCATGATCATGGATGCACACTGTTGGGAAGTCCCATACTAGAACAAAATGGTCGTCCATTGCTTCCAAGTTTTCCATGGTAGTCTAGCTTCAATTGACTCATAATTATTAACAAATGTTTAACCTACTATAGTTTGTTAGTCTACATGTACCTGTGATAACAATTCAATAGGAAGGATAGGGAGAAGACCCTTTACAAGGTCTTTTGAACACATTCTTAAGAACCTACGACGGAAGGAGAGTAAAGTCTTTACAAGTGTAGTTGCCAGACATCTTGTCGATAGTTGACACAAGATGATTGTAAATGATACATTCAAAATAATCAACACATAAATAAAGCATCAATCCTACGCCATCTTGCATAGGCGATTGCTATCAAATCTTTCCAACCTGACTTACATCTACAGAAAAAAAATGTTTGATTAGCCTTTCCCTACCATAGTGATTAGATATTTGTCTAATAACCTGTGGTAATCTTAATCTTCTTTTTTTCAATACAGTCTCCAACCTTTTATTCTACTTTCGTCTTCTGATATTCATCTCTTGCAAAATCTGATTGATATTGCCAGATTTGTATATTCTATCATATTGAGCGATTAGCTAATCATTTCACAATCTTCAATACGAAAGTCAACACAGTTCTACTGTATGGAGCTGAAAATTTAGGAACTACTACAACTATCATCAAGAAGGTACAAGTATTTATAAATACTTGTCTATGGAAGATACTGAATGTCTGTTGCCTGGATATCATCAGCAATAAACTAATGTGGGAGAGAACAAACCAGCTTCCAATTGAAGAGGAAATTATGAAAAGACGATGGAAATGGATAGGACACACATTGAAGAAATCATCAAACTGCATCACGAGTCAAACGCTACCCTGGAATCCTGAAAGGAAATGTAAAAGAGGAAGACGAAGGAAGATATCGCGTCAGTAATTAGAAGAATGAATATCGACTGGAAACAACTGAAAAGTAGAACTCATGACAGAGTTCAATGGAGAATAGTGGTGGGCAGTCTATACTCCTTTATGATGGGTATCAAGCGTAAGTATGTTTGTAAAATCCAACAATCAAAGACCGATACTTCATTCGCAAAATATCCATCAACTGTCTCAGACTTATTTTTCTCTTCCGTATCCATACTAATCACTCTCTGTTCTCATTCTCTTCTCTTCGATTTTCTCAATTTTCTTTTTTTTTTATATCAAGATCATGAACTGATTGATGTTAGATCATCATTAGAAACCTGAAAGCACTGGACGGACTTTCCATCTTATTGTGGGACTCCTCATCAGTGCATATGCACGATCCTGCTCTCATGGTTCAAACCCTGGGTCATAATCTCAATCAAAAACATAATAGTTTCCATGACTCCACCCTGAAAATGTTATTCAATCTATTTATTATTTGTAGTCATTTAAACATTATGATAGGTTACTGATAAGGTATGAAGGGTATAGTTCAACTATATTTTATATGAAACACTTATACACCTCGCCTCATATGGAAAATGATCATTCAATATAGTAAATTAATTAGAGTTAGATGTTCGTAATGTTGTAATGAACAGAACACGGGTGGAGTCTTGTGTCAATATAAGTGGCATACACCACAATGTGATCAACTGATTAGTGATTTGATCAACAAACTTAAGTTGTTTGATCTTATTTACAATTTGAAGATCATGAATATTCACTAATGTGGAATTCCATGATGGTGTAGCAAAGATCAGTTATTGATCTAAATATACATCAAATCAATATTGGCAATCGATACTAATATAGATAGAATTGAGAAAAATTTGATTGTATTAAGGATTTTCTAATTTCTTCTTTTCAGTTAAGACTGGAATAGAAAAACCAGAAGATCGGTTGAATATATCAACGACAACAACAACACTCACTCCATCGACTATAACCCAACATATATTAATACAAAATGTAAAACCTACAAACAAAGGTGAGTTACATCAGTGTTCTCGTTAACTGGTTCATTATATTTATACTCAAATAGATTACTTTTTTATTACATTCTACATATTGACATTTATATAGACTTACATAGATACATACATATTGAGTTACTTACTTACTTACTCTTGTTACTCCTCGTGGAGCAGCATGAGCCGCCCATCAGCACTCGCCATCCAACCCTGTCCTGGGCAATCCTTTCCAGTTATTATTCATTCTTTTCATATCTGCTTCTATTTTTTGATCTTACTCCTCGTGGAGGAGCATAGGCCGCTCACCAGCACTCACCATCCAACCATGTCCTGGGCAATCCTTTCCAGTTATTATTCATCCTTTTCATTTCTGCTTCTGTTTCCTGACGTAATGTGTTCATTGGCCTTCCTCTTCCTATGGAAAACGAACTTGTTAAAAAAACGCTAACATACATGCATAAGTACCCAGTAATTCGTCTAGTTCTCTTAATCTCTACTAATCTAACTCATGAGTTCGGTAACACCTATCTGTATGATAATAATAATAATAATAATAATAATAATAATAATAATAATAATAATAATAATAATAATATCATGATTAATGAATTACATCCAAATTAATAATAGTGGTGTGAATAACTTATCGTATATACCATTATTATCCATCCCTATTGAAGTTGATGACTCAAACTTGATTGTTCCTTTTTCTTGCAAATATCAATCGTCAATTGTCGTTAGACTTCAATATTCTTACAGTTCCATACCAATTACTTTCTGATCCCGCTCTTCCTATCTCTATCTTCTTAACCTACTACTGCCAGATATTCTGTTATCGACCAATGTTAAATACTATTTATCACTGATTGAAATCATGAGTCGATTAAAGCTAGACTACCATGGAAAACCTGGAAGCGATGGACGGCCGTTTCGTCTTAGTATGGGACTCCTCATCAGTGCTCACCCAAGATCCCACACATCGTGAGATTCGAACCCGGGACCTATCAGTCTCGCATCAGGCGCCAAGTGCTTCCAGGTTTTCCATAGTGCTCTAGATTCAATTGACTCATGATTTCAATCAGTGAAATTTCTAAAATCTCTACAAAACCCCTTCTGATATACTTCTTATGTCGATGTAAGTAGCAAACTTCACACGAACTATCATCTCAATTCCAAGCCCATATCAGCATCCAAAGAAGAGCATTCCTGATGGGTACCGACATCAAAAGTAGTAAACGGTTGATTTAAACATATACATATTATTCTTTTGTTTTAGTTATCAATGGTAATCTTTCAAATAAAAATCAAGTTAATGAAGTAAATACAGTAAAGAATGAAACAATCACAAATTATACACAGTCTTCACTCTCTGAAAATTCATCATTTGAAAGTTAGTTTTACCATTTATTAGGCAACTTTTATGTTACATTTCTATTTGTACTGTCAACTCGATCCAGTTATCAATTCTAACATCTTAGAGAAATGTTGAAATCATGAACAAAGTTAAGTTAGATCATCATTGAAAACTGCTAGGTTTGAAGCTGTCACGAGTTCACGTCATCTGCGAACGAGAACACAGACTCAGTGATCAAAGACCAGTAAGCTAGCTGTTTGATTCGTCCCAGCACCACTAACTAGAAGGAGAAGTTCAAGCCTGTAATGGAAATGTATATTCTGCAAACAGCCAGAAACGAGCGATCACACAGCAATTCACAAATGGATCCGAAAAATTACTACTCATTATACTTATCGGGGCATAACAAAAACTTGGAATTACTAGATGATCGTTTTTATTCTAGTATGAAAATCTGGTAAGACCACAATTTATGGACGACCTATGATCAACGCTAAACTGACCTTTGAAAGTGTCTACCTAATTACTAAAGTTAGATGAAGGTTATAAAGTAATTTGAAGAATAAGGATCATAATTTACAGTGAATGGTTAGAGGTTAGGAATTACATTAAGGGTTTTTATCATAAATTGACATCATCTATAATGTCAAGTCTCTATTTAGCCAAATTAATAAGTGAATTTCGCGCCAAAATCTAAGACCTAATATCGTAAATCTAATTGGTTTGTTCATAAATTATACTCTCACTGAAAATCTTTACCAGTACATATCCACTATCCAACATCCGGAGATCGATCATTGAACTGATCATCTTTAACAGTGTTATGGTTTAATTCCAATCCCTCTCCCATAGAATGACTTGCTTTTTTAATTACCTTTCGTAACTTTGAAAATTGTCTTCCTTTTTTGTTGTTACTTTCTCTTTATTACATTTAGGTTATATCTATCTAATCTATTTGCTTATTAGTATACTATTAGCAATATTTATTATTGGAGCAGTTTATTTCTTGTGTACATATTCAAAGACGATTTCTTCTTGATCAAATGTAAATTCATATTGATTGATCGATTGTTTTATTCAACTTTATTCCTTAAAATAAAATTGTTACTATGGAATTTATGTTTATTGTGTTTATTGTAAAATGATGATCGGATGATATTTTATCAAGATAACTGAATAGACTAGTTCATTTGGCGAGACTCTAATTTATAGATGAGCCAATTAGAAGCGTTTTAGAGAAGTCAAGGTTACGGCGCCAAATTCAGTGTTTAATGCTAACAAACGATTGATTCATATGAGATTTTATACAAAACGTGATGATTGAGCAGCTATAACAAATAAAACGGCAGGACTACCATTTGTGGACGAATCAATCAGGAATATGATAATCGATCTCGGATTTTCACACGAAAGCCTTTCATCCATTTAGCTATATAGGGTTTCGGCATTATAGCTGATGTCAGTTCGTGATGAAAACTCCATATATAATTCCTAACTAAGACAAATTATGACAATGATTGCGAACTGGATAATAAAAGCACCAGTAACACTGGTTGCAGTCAGGTACTACAATATATAAGGATGATTGGACAACGTACAGACTCCTACATAGACTTGGTTATGTGTATCGTGTCGTTATCCACAAGTAGCATTTTGTGCACTCAACAACTGGAGTGCACATAAACAATATTGAAGCTATGTGATCGAGGCTGAAAGAGTTTTTGAGATTTTATCATGGCTTCAAAGGCCGACTACTCTATGGCCGTATGAATGATTTCCTCTTCTACATGCATTAAGATTTCAGAACCTCTGAAACTCTTTTTAACCTTGACAAGTTTTCGAACCATATAAGAGAAGTGTTTCCACTTTATTTCTTTGGTTTTGTATAACATATTTTTACTCTATGCTGACTGTTTGCTGATTGGCTAATATTTCTCAAGTTAGCATAAGACTCGTTCAAGGGTCGTTCATACATTAGAGTCTCGCTGTTCATTTTTATAGTTCAATTCATGGGTCTATTCAAGCTAGACCAGTATGGAAAACATCGAAGCAATGGATGACTGTTTCGTTCTCGTGAAGACCTCCTCAGTAGTGAGCATCCACGATCCCACCTCGTGAGATTCGAACCCAAGACCTTCAGCCTCGTGCTCGAACACTCAACTTCTAGACTAGTGAGCTGATCGGCATCCAGTGGTATTGATGTCTTAACCCAAACAATCCATAAAATTGAGCCATTATCTACCATTGTCTTAAGTGAGCTACTATCTCACTACAGACACAGTTGTGAACTCCACTGGTTACGGTTTCTTACTAGAATTCTGTGAAATACCAATTGAAGCCAGTCAATAGTGAGCATAAGACGATTATTATCAGAAGTGAGTTTTATGCAGACTTTTAGCAATTTTATAATTGAATCGATGAGTCAATTTAAGCTATACCACCATGGAAAACTTGGAAGCACTGGACGGCATTTTCGTCTTCGTATGGGACTCCTCAGCAAAGCTCATCCACAATACCGAAATATGATGAAACACGCGTCCTGTATTCCACTATCCATCTGTGCTGATTGGGAAGATTGGTGAAAATAAAATAAGTGATGAATTTATAACATTCTAGTGAGTAGAAAATTGAAGTTACGACGTTTCTTGCTCAAGTTTCAGTTAGTACTTTAGAGCATCAATGATCAAACTGCTCGTTTACAAATATTCTTTTATTTATTTATTCGAACACATAAATATTGGTACAAAGGGGGACCGAATACATATACGTCACATAAGTCACAAGATTTGTGTGTAGGCTATGATACTTATCGAGTGCTAGACCAAAGCAAATGGTTTTCTTAAGATGCCACACCCGGAGCCTTCGAACCAAAGGTTTGAACCACAAGGTGATAAAGCAATGTCAAGAGATGTAGTCCCCTGGTAGCCGATGACCAACAATTGATTCATCCGCCATTTGTTTTTTTCAGAATCCTGGAGTCCATGTGTACAAATATTCTAACTGTCAAAGTTTAATCAGAAGTATCATTTCTGTGATTCTAATTGCCATATATTTCTAGAAATCATACAGTTTGAAATGAGGATATCCTGTTACAATTTTCAGGTGTTCAAAAAACATCCAGTTTATCCATTGTAAATTAACGAAATGAGCGAGAAAAACCAGAATTAGGCAAAATCAATGAACACATATTAAATAATGTCTAGTTGGTTCAGCGTCTGTCGACAGACTGATAGGTCCTAGGTTCGAATCTCACGGGGGGTAGCGGAATCGTGGATGAGCACTGTTGAGGATTCCCATACTAGGACGATACGGCCGTCGAGTGCTTCCAGGCTTTCCATGGTGGTCTAGCTTCAAATAACTCATGATTTCAACCAGTGAAATAATGTTCGTCAAATTTTCTGTATTCAATGACAAAGTAGTATAAGTGATTTTATTTTATTTGTGTCTACAATCTGGTGTCAGACAATGTTCAATTATGTTAGTAACAGTGACAATGGTTTTTCCTGTTACATCCTCTACTAATTGCAGCCGAACATAATCTATAACTAATGGCAGTCCTACTTGTGTGATGTGTGCTACTGATGTTGATAGATATAAGTAGTATGTAACACCGATCGAAAGTGAAATACCTGGGTGGTAGGAGGTTAAGAAGATCGAATAAAAGAGAATGAGGGCAGACAGTGATTTATACGGAAATCAATGAACTTTCAAGGAGGAAACGATTGATTGACATTTTGAAAATTAAATATTCATTGTATGGTTCTCAGATTTTACTAAGACATTCTGCAATTTTATATTCAAATACATTTAATTGTCCTCGCCTTTATTCTCGTTCACTACCGTAGAACCCAACAGTCACAAATCAAAGGTTGGAAGGAGCAGAGGAAGGGATTATTGAGTAAGAATAAAAATACAGAAACCCTAGGTATTTATAGTTATTAGTAATGGTTATAACATTAATATAATTCAGCCAATTCGCAAGGAAGCATGTTATGCTGTCGTCTAATCGTAGAATGCTGTTTTGATATTTTCAAAGACTCTAACAGGTTCTGATTGGATTATTCACTGAAACTTCGGTTTCCATTGTACGAAAACTTATAATTTACAAAATGTACATAATCAGGATCTTTGTGTTGCTAATTTCTTCTAATCGTTTTATAGTTAATGAGGAAGACATTTGATTGACTCTTATGTGGCCTTGAGAATATTCACCTACTTACCAAGGCTAAATTGGAGTGATGAACCTGTGTAAAGAATGAAGATTGGGAATTCGATTTAAGGGTCTCCATCGCGAACTGACATCAGTTAGAATCCTAAAATATCTTTTAATCAAATAAACGGATGAATTCCGCGCCAATATCCAAGACCTCCATCAGTCCATAATCTCGCCTTTAATGGACAGTCATTGACTTAATGAAGAGAATATTATAATATTTAATGAAATAAACGGAAGCACAGAAGCATTACAATATCAAAATACAAAATAATCAGTCATTCGAAGAATAGGATCTAAATACGCATATGCTACTTCACAACTGTATAACGTTTCAAGCCTACACACCTATTCATAAAGCGTATGAAACATTCTTGAAAATATCATTCACAAGGTTCTAATCATATTCGACTTAACTCAGACTAAGTTGTTGATGGAGATGTTAGATCCTCAGAACTCACTTAGTAAATACCTTAATTTTGTAATTTTATTTTGAAAATTTGAATTTCTTTGGTTTCGCACCGAAAGTACCCTTTACACCTCTAGTATGGTGTCGAATCGCGGTTGACTATGATCACCACTACAGGAGGACTACGTGTTAGTTAACCGATAAGATCCCCCTGTAGGCCAAATATCAGAAGGCAGTTGAAAGCTGTACTCGAGTTGTATTTGTTGGCGATCTCGTGGTATCGAGAGAATAACGAGATCGTGCCAGGTTACAAGTGTGGCTACTGAGCGTAACTGAAATCGTGCAAAGTCACAATCAATGGAAAGAAGAATGTCTTTAATACAGTTAAACAAACAAGTACAGTGAAACAATCACTGGTACAATTGGTTATAACAATAATTGTTTCCATTAAATCAATCGCGTTCTCTTCATAAAAGTAGATCACTACACAACTTCATGTCGTATCTCCCACTCGGGAGAATCTTAAACGCTAATGATCCGTTGTATTTTTTAGTGTGGTATTTTCTAACGCTTCTCATGGACAGTTTTATGCTGTATATATATGTTTGATTTGTGTCTGTTGTGGTCGTTCATGTTTCTGACTTTTTACGGAATATACTTCCATGTTCGCACTTCAACTTCTCTCTCTCTAGTAAGCGGAGAAGTGACACATCAAAATATCTAGTTTATTGGTCTATGGTCACAGAATCTTTGTTCTGTTCGTAGACGAAATGAACTCGTTATCACTTCAAAACAGAACAGTTCTCAATGAAATACTTTTTGACTTTTCTCTTCATCATTCATTTGTTCACAATATCACTTCCAAGAAGAAAACAATAAGACGAATACGATTCTACGTAGGTATAGATTCAACAGTTGAATTATGGCTAGTTATTTAGTTTCTTCTGAAGTTCTAACTAACAGTATATGCAAGTTAAGTTTATATTGTACCCTAAAAATAAGGAATCCCTAATGGCATAATTAAATGATGTGAAGTTAAGCCAATAGGCTTGTCTCTAAACTTGAATTTGCCTAACCAAAAAGTGTAATTATTAGTTAACTATGGCAATTTCTTTTACATTACTGCATAGGGTTGATTCGTTTAAGAGTTAGTTCATTTACTTCTCTACAATACATCCATGAATGATTTCCATATTAAATCCTCCAGTAGTATAATCAATCAGGTCAGACGATTAGGAATTTTAAATTCATGAATGAATGAATTAATTCCTATTTCTAAAACCACTGATCTCTACCTCCAAACCCTAAAACTCTTAAATATCAACTACTAACATTTAGTAATTGACGCGTTCTCGGATTTTACTAAACAATTCTGTAACTTTTTATTCAAATACATTGGGTTATCTTCGCTGGTGTTCTCGCTCACAACACTGATACTACTACTTACACAAATAATACAATCATCGAAGCGTTAGTAGTCTGAGCGGCAGTAGTAGTAACCTTTGCATTGTGTTTAGTTTAACTGGTGGTAATACGATTAATATGAGTAGATGTGCTGATAGTGAGCAATGATTCGAATAGTGTTCGTTGTAGCAACTTCTACTAAGAGATAACTGTTTTATGCCATCCCTGTATTCCGTTGCTTTAGTATATTTTATGAAGTATTACGCGTGCACAACCACCTCTGACCTCGATAGCCAAACACCGTTGTAGTGGCAAAAATACTCATAACCGTATCGGTTCAACAAAAAGCAAGAGCAATGAAATTACTCTTTTAATACACACATGCTTCAAAGTTATTGGAAATATGGAACGACCTTGGAAAAATTTAAAATTCCGTGACCTACAGTTTGCTTCATCATGAGCGAAAGATACAGCTTCTCCTTAAGTACATTCAGGTGAGCCCATATTTTAAGACTTTGTCAAAAACTTTAGTCCATCCGGAAAGCTTGTTCAGATCGAATATGCATAGGCTGGTACCACGAAGTTTGCACGAACTTAACGCCTGCTGCTTTCAAACGGTTCAGTAAGAAGGGTTGTGTTTGGCTTTGTCAACATTGCTGCTCGGATGCAAACAGCTTGCTAACCGAGACCACCTCACTGGTTGATGCTGCAAAGAAGTGTTCTAGCAAGCGTAATTGGAACGCGTCAAACAGCACTCGATCTGTCGACACGCAAATCAACGTGAAGGAAACTAAGGTTAGTTCGGTGATAGATGACTCACGCCCGTCAAAGAAGGAAAAGGAGTCTCCAAAGTGGCCTGCTTTAGACAAAAGCTCAGGAAAAGTAGGGTCTTCTGTTCCCCGTCTCCCAGATGGGATCCAACAGAAAACACCTAGAAGCCGCAATCGCAAGGCTCGATTGGTTTCAAACGGTAAACATAACACAACCTCTCGGGTCATCGACAACCCCCCGAAACCCAACGCTAGGTTTGACGCAACTGTTATTGCTTCTACCAGCACCGTTGACGAATGGGTAAAGGTTGTAAGGAAGAAAAGTAGATATATAAAAAGGGAAACCTGCCCCCGTAAAAGTGGTTGAAAAATCGAAAGCTGATCATAGCGACAGATCAGCTATTTTTTCATGGAATCAAGGAAAGCGAGAGCTCTGAACCTAAAGCTCGTTTTGAGCATGACATTGTACTGATTATTCAGCTGCTTAATCAACTCATGCCTCAAAATATGACCGGAGTCACCTTGCTAAAGGTGTACAGACTAGGGAGTCTAGCGGACTCGAAATCAAATCATTCCAGACTGCTTAAAGTAGTATTCGGCTCTTCGAACAAACGTGACCTAATTTTACAAAATGGACACAAATTAAAGGGTTCAGGAGTCTTTATCCAAAAGGACCTACCGTTGGCAGACCGTGTTAAAAGACGGGAAGCCGAAAAAGAACTACAACTTAGGTTAGACGCTGGCGAAAAGGACCTGAAAATTGTAAATTTTCGGGTTGTAAGACTTCGACAGAGAATGATGCCGAAGCCACTCTGGGTGAAGCACGAAGGCACTTAAACAGGCTTCGGATCTGTTACACCAATGCACGAAGCTTACTTAATAAGCGATCGGAACTAGGTGTACAGATTGACTCTACAAAGCCAGACATAATCGCAGTTACAGAAACCTGGCTGACACAGGCTATAGATAGTATAGAACTTGATTTCGAGGGCTTTGCGTTATTAATGGCCGACAGAACACAAAAGCGCAAAGGAGGGGGAGTATCTCTATTCATTAGGAATGCTATCCCATTTACCATTATCGATAGTGTATCCCATGAGAGTGGGGCTTGTGAATTAGTTAGTCTTCGCTTAAAATGCAAGGGACAAGAGCTGCTGATTGGTTTGGTCTATCGCAGTCCAAGCTGTGAGGCAAATGAGATCCTGTTAAGCAGTCTCAATACTTGGTCCCAAAGTGGTCGATGTCTAATCCTACGGGACTTCAATGCACCTATGGCAGACTTGGAAAATCTGCGAACTAAATCGTCGGAGAATTCTTTCGAGTAGGAACTAGTTGATGGGGTTATCACATGTGCTCTAGTGCAGCATGTGAAAGAAGCGACAAGGTACCATCCGGACACTGAATCATCCTTATTAGGTCTTATACTGACTCACTATGAGGAGGATGTTACGAACCTCAATCATATGCCACCCCTAGGTAAAATTGACCACGCAGTTTTAACTTTCGACTTCCATATAACTGCCAGTCATGAGGACGCGTCAGTCCAGTCCAGACCCAAAGTCTGGAAAGCGAACATACCAGACATCATGCACTCAGCATCGTTAATAGATTGGACAATAGACCCAGAGTCCTCAATTGAAACGGCCTGGGACGCATTTTGAAATTCATACTTAAAAGTTACCACACCTCATATCCCTTGGTCTATAACAAAGAGGCCGAAAAACTCCCCACCATGGTTCAGTAGGGAGGTCCGTATCCTTCTCCGTAAGAAAAGGAAAATGTAGGATAGATTTAGGTCACTGGGGACTGATTAGTCAAAATCTCAGTATCAAAAGGCTCGGAACACTTGTGCCTCGACCCTCCGTAAGTCTAGAAAATTGTACGAAGAAAAACTTGTTAAGGAATCCATAGAATGTCCTAAACGCTTGTATTCCTATATAAACCAAAGGACAAGGAGAAAAGGAAATATTCCTGCCCTATGGGGAGACAGTACTGCTTCATCATTAGTGGAGGACGACTTTGGTAAGGCTCAAGCGTTCTCGAACTACTTAAGCAACGTGTATACCATAGAAGCGCCCTTCCCGTCAGCGTATACAGATCCCCCATACATACACTGGATAGCGTGACCATTAAAGAACTCGGTGTCTTTGGTCTGCTAAATAAGTTTGACATAGGTAAATCCACGGGGCCCGATGAATTACATCCTAGGCTATTGAAGGAATTATCTAACTTCGTTGCAAGCCCTTTAAGTACATGCTTTAACCTATCCGTTACGCAGGGTCGTTTACCGAAAGACTGGAAAAACGCTATAGTAAGTCCTGTCTTAAAAACAGGCACGAAACACAAACCTGAGAACTACCGCCCCGTTAGCACAACTAGTGTGGTTGTTAAAATATTAGAAAAGATTATTCGGAAGGAGCTGTTTAAGTATCTCGATAAAAACCGGATCCTCTCGGAGAAGCAGCACGGCTTCAGAAGAGGTTATTCTTGTCTCACTAACTTATTAGTGGCTCGTGAAAGCTGGTGCGCTCTTAAGGACCAAAAGCTACCTGCGTACGTCGCCATCATTGATTTCAGTTAAGCTTTTGACAAAGTTCCGCACAACCGGCTGTTATACAAGTTAAGAAAAGTCGGGATTGGAGGCAATTTATTGATGTGGATAAAAGACTTCTTAGTTGGGCGTCAACAAAGAGTAAGGGTGAACTCAAAGTTATCTAGCTGGGAAACTGTGCTTAGTGGAGTGCCCCAGGGTACAGTTTTGGGGCCAGTGCTATTCCTCTTGTATGTAAATGACCTTCCTTGTATCCTATCATCATCGGTCTTGCTATTTGCTGACGCTGTCAAGATATGGAAAACGATACGATGTAAGAGTGATAGCTTAAAACTTCAAAATGACCTGAAGAAGTTATCTGAATGGTCTCAAACATGGCAGTTTCCGATAAATATTTCCAAGTGTGTTGTGATGCATATCGGTCATCAAGGCACAGATACATACATACACGATGAATAACACTGAGCTAACTGTCGTCCAGACATAATGACTTAGGAGTTATCGTCAGTCATGACTTAAAGACTACTGCACACTGCCGTGCAATAGCCGCCAAAAGTTTTAGAACGTTATGGTCAATACGTAGGGCTTTTAGTCATGTCGACGCTGAGACGCTTTTGACTTTGTATACAGTGTTCGTTCGTCCTAAACTTGAGTACTGCATACAAGCGGCTAGCCCCTGCCTAAAAAAGACAGTGAGCTTCTGGAAAAGGTTCAGAGAACGGCGACTGAGCTGGTTCCCGGAATAGCGAAGCTTGTGTATGAATCTCGACTGGCCAAGCTGAACCTTTTCCCGTTGTCATGTCGAAGAACTAGAGGCGACTTGATTACAGTCTACAAATTGCTCAGTGATAAATTTGCACCTAACATACCCTCATTTTTCTTGTCTTCCAAAACAGAGAATTTACGAGGACACTCCAAAAAAGTTCACAAGCCGAGAACAAATTACTTGTCAGCCGACTATCGACTTTCCCATCGAATCATCAACGAGTGGAATTCACTACCTCAGCACGTGGTTGAGGCTCCATCCGTCGACTCTTTCAAAAGAAAGTTGGATCAACTGAGAGACCACCATTGCCAGGACTAACATAGGCCATCGAGCCCCTTATCCTTCCCAAACTGAAACTGAAAGCAACTGGAGCTGGAGCTCCGTCTGTTGGTATACGTGCCGCGAATAGGGTTATGCTTACTGCAGTGAAAAAGTTCACTTCAAAACTTATGGACGAGTCAACAGTGACAAAAATTGAACAAGTGACAGATGGGATGAAGATGGTTTACAGTGGTCTGTCACCGGATTATCGTGTATTGGTTAAACAGGCCAAAAAGTCGTACCAGGCATATCAGCTGGCGTATGGTGAACCTATATCTCCGGAACAATTGGTTATCCGAATAGCTGCTGTTATGCAAGAATATACACAATCCGGGTGGGTTTTGTATTCCTATCATTTTCGCGTGTATATCGATAAAATTTAGCTAGCCAACTGATTACATCAATGTTTATGCTTCATATCGAATTATAGATATAGTAATTAGTTACACTTGACAGACAAATATTATGTATACTTATGTGATGTGGCCTTATAGCAGAACATCTACATCACTAGGATTTACTATCCATTCTGCTTTCTATTCTCCACTCCATATTTTAAAGTATGAACCTCCTCACATCATTGCTATCTATATCACCGGAATAGAATTCACTGACGATTTTGATATAGTTTCCCCTTGACTCTTGCAGCTAAAGTTATTCACTAGGAAGCCCTAGGTTCATGCTTCATGCTGAATAGCACTCGCGAACAGAATGTACCTTCAATCTTAAAGTAAGTCAATATCGTAAATCCAACCTTGTATGTAAATCCACAACTGCCAGTGATCTGTTTGGGCTACTACTATACTTCACGCTGTTCATATTAATGGTTTTCGCAAATGAGCACAATCCATTTACTTAATTCCTGTCTTTCCTTTAGTCACATATCCGAAATAATTTCATAGTCCAAGGCAAATAAATCACATGAAATGACTAATAAGTTGATGCTAACTTGAATAAATTCACACGTTGAGTGAATATAAATAACATAGATCCAAAGAAACAATATTATCTTAGATCGGAGTTAATATTTGGTCAAAAATTTCAACTTCCTCTGTGAAGCAGGTAACATTAATTGAGGTTTTAGTGACTTGCATTCCCGTATCTGTGAATACTATCCAACCCTGTCTCAGATAAGGTGTAGTCAAGGTAGTAAATAGCTTTTATTTATTTATTTGAAGACATATATATTGGTACATGAGTGCGCCAAATATATATGCGCCACACAAAACAATGAAAATTTAAGAAGAAAAAAAAACAATGTGGAACGTATAAAAAAAATAATGAAGAGATTGGTGTCAGGGAATGTAGTAATAATCATAGTCATAATGAGGGAACGTAAAGGTACAATCAGAAGAAACCTTTCAGTTAAGGAAGAAACAACCACTTTTATGAAGAAAGTAAAAGAAGGTTACAGCAGGATCGCCACTGGCTTCTATTCTCAGCCATATCTGATAACGTCTCTAGCCACTGTGTAGCACTATCTCTCGGACCCCAACCAGGGAGTCGTGAAGGACCGACAAAAACCAGTCCTTTGCAGCTTTCTTTCATACCACGACACCATGTCATATACTGACCACCTCTCCGCTTTCTCCAACCGGTCCCAGAGTCGACAAATAATGCACGACGTGGAATTCTCTGGGACGACATTCGTAGAGCATGTTCAAGCCACCGAAGTCGGTGTTTCAAAATGGTGACACCAATTGCATTATCTTCTCTGTGCCCGAACACACGATACCGAACCTCTGCAATACTAACATGGTGTTGCCACTGGATGTTAGCAATCCTTCGGAGACATCGATGATCGAATACAGAAAGTCGTCCAAGTAAATAGCTTACTATTGGTTCATTTAGTTCAGACTAGTCATAGCGCCTAGGCAAACCAAACATTCCTAACAGTTTGTCGGGTTAGGGATTGTCGTAATCTTACAGACTTAAAGTTCCTCAAGCCGTAAAGCCAACAGTGAATCAGGTTTAAAAATTGCTGGAGCTATGTTTACAGAGGATATTATTAAGTGGATCTTTGATTACACTCATTGATCTGGACAGGAAATGAGAGAGATGAAGCGGAGAAGAGAGAGCGAAGCGGAACGAAAAGATACGCAGTAAAGATGGCGGATGAGCCGACTTCCTTTAATCAAACGTTAATCAATATTTATAGTTAGATAAAAATAAGTTACAGACATGTAATGAATAGGATGAGAAGTGTACACACACATACATACGCTCATATGAAAGCAATCAAGGTTGATAAGTGAATAATTAACAAGGTCTGTTCAGAACCTAGAATAAGTTATATGAACTTGTAGTGACTCACTTTTATCATGAGAACACGATTGGTTTAGTGAAAACAATTATTATAACTAATTGTACCTGTGCTTGTTGCTATAAGAGTATAATTTTGTATGAGTTTTGAGTTATGATTGAATTGAGTTCAATAGAGAACTAATCTGCCATTTACTTTTATCTAACTAATCACTAGTTTAGAAAGAGATTGACAATCAATCAGTGTTAACTTTTTGTTTGTTATTTTTATTTTATTTATTTTAAAACATAGATATTGGTACAAGGAGGCACCAAATGGATATGCGCCAGACAGATCTCATTGGATTTGTGCGAGGGCTGTGATACTGCCCGGGTGCCCAAACCGAAGCATGTGGTTTTCTCAGGGGGCGAAACCCGGAGCCTCCGACCTGAAGGTCTGATACACAAGGCAATGGAGCATTGTAAGGAGATGCAGTCCTATAGAAGCTAGTGATCAACAATTGGTTCATACGCCATTTGTTCCCACAGGATACTGGAGCCCATGTGCACCACTGATCTGGAATTCGGTTAAAGTGCCGAACATTCGCTTTTCGTCCTCTCATTTTCGTAAACAACACTGATGTCACTGAGAGTATAAAGTGTTAAATTCTATTTTGGCATATTACAGGGTAATGAACATTTACAAAATTGACACTATCCCTAAATTAAAACTCAGATCCCTTGAACCTGAAGTAAACCAATGGGAGAAACAACTAAAACAAAGGAGTAAACAATGACAAATTTAAAGTCAGTAAGAACCAATCAACGTCGAGGTGTTCAGAACTAGTTATGAAACGCATATGGAGAAACTCGAACACTTCAGTTGAGATGGTATCATTTTCCCTGTTGGTCAATACTTATTTCACGTGTCAAATGTTATTTTCTATTTTATGGTACGATGTGGTCTGCTTGATTGGTATATAAACAGAGAATGCTTGAAATATAACGATTCATATCTCAGCGGCTGAGACTTACGTTCTGGACTCAACTGGCTGGGTAAGACAGGAAGCAGGGTCAATCAGAAATTTAGGCTGTTCTTACGTGTTTACGCGTCTTTGGTCCGACCGATAAGTCACTGTCCTCTAATCTGCAGTCACAAATTACAACAGTTAGTTCTATGGATGCTAAGGATATCTGCATGTAACAAAGTAGAAACAAAGAAAAATGGTCAGTTGAAATATTTCTGAAAGAACCAATAGTATTAGGTATAGAACAAACAAAGACACAATCAGTATTCCCGTCGATAAGAATTATGTACACTCAATATGAGAATTGATGGAAATATTAAATATTCAGTCCATAAAACAAATAATGAATATGAACTATTGAATATAATGAGAGAATAAAATTATAATAATGGATAGAATGATTGTTAGATGTTTATATGTACACTGTGAAACATCATTGTCAAGATAGATTACTAGTGAACTTGAGAAATTTCTAAGATCCAAAAAAGCTGAAGATATTCCATCCAATCATCCTTTGGAAGAATATTCCAGAATCCTTATGTGTAACCTCTCTATTAGACAAATGGTAAGAACCTCCTATGTGCAGATTGGATAACTGTGGTGATGATGATTTCGTTGATACTAAAAACACTATAAATACTTGACAGTTCGTATTATATTTGACACTGTTTTGGAATAGCATTCCTTTCATTTATCTTCTGTATTTTCATTTGTGACTTCTAGCGTTTGAGTGGTCAAGTTGTACTTGGTATATCTAAGAATCTAAGCTTTAGATATAACAATGACACATAACAACGGGAGATTTCCCAAACTATCTATTCCTATATGATTGACTATTACATAAGTTACTGATCATATTGCATAATTCACAGTTTGTTTCAAAAAAGATATGTTTTGTTTAAAGTCGGTATTGTTTGCCGTAATTGAATCAGAGGATATCTTCTTTTAACTTTCTTCTACTTTCGTTGACCATTTGAGGAAATAGGTTTGATGTATAATCTCTCAAGAATTCTCAACATTATCTTGATCGCCAGAAATTAAGAAAATAACAATAGTGGAGCATCAGTTGAGTGGTGATCAATGTCATGTATGTCAAGTCCTTATCCAGTGCAGATCGAATGCTATCGACCATATTGCAATGTGGCCACCAGTCTAGGTGACCGAATAGCTCAGTGGTAACGTCTCACTGTGAAGCTTGGTGACACTGGATTGAATCCGCCAAGGAGCACCAGTTCCCTCAAGATTACAGGTACACCTTGCTGGAGAGTGCCAAGTAGCATGAAACTCAGTCCAGGGTTTCCTGTCGATTATCTCCAACCACCATCGGATCATCAGTAGTTTGTACAAACGTACTTCTAATTCATCAGACATAAGTTTGACTTTGATATGATGATATTAGCATTAAGTTTCCGGTCGGTTGTCTATCACAAGGTTTTGAATATTCAAATGAATAACTGACGCAGAGACCCAGGTTTCGTGTTATTTTCATACATTATAATGAAACATTTCCAGATAACATTTGGAAATGAGAAAAAATCGGGAAATACTAAAATTGTGGTAGTATATAACGATGGTCCGCCATGGAATGTATTTCAGTAGAAGACCAATAAGGAAAGAACGGGAACGATTGATATGAAAATGCTAGAACAATGAAATCTGAGACGGTGGACTACTACTATACCTGCGACTACTACTACTTTTATATATAAGTATTATAGAAATATCGTATTGTCCGCGAAAAAGACATGGACTTCTAATATTCGTTGTCCTGTAGTTGTTTCTATTTTGAATGACATTTATGAAATATAGATCAGTCATATTATACATAATTCAGGAATACCAAGCTTTATATATTCATATCTTTCAATGTTTCGGGCACTGCTGGAGAGTCCCACAATAGAACGAAACGGCCGTCCATTACTTCCAGATTTCCCGTGGTGGTCTAGCTTCAACTGAATCGTGATCTTAACCATTGAAATTATTATAAATATAATTGGTTTATACTGAAACAATCTAGATGAGATAAAGCTTATAACTGAAGACGATATCGAGGTAATCTGAACAGCATACACATTTGCCAACACGAGATTGATTAATTACAGTCCTAAACAACAATGAGAAGATACAAGTAAACCATGCCAATTGAATATAACTTAGCTCCATTATACATGCAGATGGCTATTAGGACTTAGTAACAGAGTGGATAATGTGATGGCATCTGAAGAGAATTATGCTGGGTTCGAATCCTAAAGGGAACATTAATTGTGCAATGCATGTACATCTATTTGACAAGTTCTAAATAAGACGAAATACTCTTCCTAAATTCCACTACAAGTCATCATCCATCATTGTTTATAAAGTATTGATGAAAGTCCTAAATTATCTCTATCTAATAATCTCATTTATTCTATTGTAAATTATTGATTTCCCCTCCCCCCCCCACACACACTCTTCACTCAACCATCCACCTATTCAATCCCATTGAGATTCCATGGTTTATTAAAATGTAAAAGCAAAAGAACAGAATAATCATTATTGATTTAATTGATTGGTTACAGAAGAAAACAAAACAAACTACAAATGGTAATTTGTTAATAGATTAGAAATCATTCATTACAAGTAAATCATGATTAGATAAACAATGCTCGTTCATCATCATTATCACAATCATCCTCATCATCATAACTTCCATGTATTTCAACCTACAATTGTAATGGGTAATTGTAGGATAATTAACATATATATCATATGAACAACAGTTAAGATCATGAGTAAATTGAAGCTAAACCACCATGGAAAACCCGGGAGCAATGGATGGCCATTCCGTGCTAGTATGGGACTCCTCAGTGGCAGTGCGCACCCAATATCCCGCCTTGCGGGATTCGAATTCAGGAACTATCGGCATCATCAGAAATTGACATCTGCTAAAATGTCACGTTTCAACAATTATGGTTTATTATGTATCATCAAGTACATCGCATTTATTTATTGCTTATTTACTTACTTACACGTCTTCCTCCTAGTGAAGCATAGGCTACCGACAAGCATTTTACAATCCACACTGTCCTTGGCCTTCTTTCTAATCGTATCCAACTCTTGTTCATTCTTCGCATATTTGTCTCGGCGTCGTGTGTTCTTTGGTCTTCCTCTTCTCCTATGACATGGAGGATTCCTGGTGGGAGCTTAGCTTGTGACGCATTTGGGTGCTTTCCCCCAATGTGTGTCCTATCCATTACCAGCACATCTTCCTGATTTCTTCCTTCGCTGGGATCTGGTTTGTTCTCTCTCACAGTAGGTTTTTGCTAAGTTTTTGATCAACGGAACCGAAGTATCTTGTGTAGACAACTGTTAATAAACACAAGTATATTCTGAATGATTGCTTTCGTGGTTCTCCAAGTTTCCACCCATACAGTAGAATTGTCTTGACATTTGTATTGAGAGTTCTGTCTTTGGTGTTGGTTGACAGACAGTTGCTTTCAGTTCTAGATATTCTTCAATTGTAGATATGCTACTCTTGCATCAGATCCTCTGTAATCATTAATGATGCTGGCCAGATATTTAAAGATTTTTGCATCCTCCAAAGCTTCTCTGTCAAGTGTGATTTGATTAGTGCATGTTGTGTTGTATCAGAGAATCATGCTTTTCCCCTTGCGTATGTTGAGACCTACTATTACTGAGGCTGAATCTACACTGGTAATCATCTTCACTTGTTGTTGCATGTGCGATAGATAAATAGATAGATAGATGTGTGGACCGATAGATAGATAGATAAAAGTTTTCGATAAAATTTCATCAGATGAAATTAATATAACATGATTTGTTCACATTCTGCCAAATCTAATCCAGCTTGCACTTACATATTTCATTCTATCTGGTTACGGCACTAGCAAGTTCTGACAGGAACCGATATTTAACTGAAAAGATATACAAAATCTGACTATATAAATTGTAATAACGTTGAATAAATATCAATACTAATGGCTGACAGTTCAATGGTGTAGATGTGAAGTGTTCGGACGGGAAGTTTGAAATTCATATGTTCGACTCATTCTGACGTGATAGTGGGTACGATTTAGTAAAGAGTTTTATACTGAAATGAAATCGCTATTTGTCAATTTCAGACTTTGAATAAGGATCTAGGTACCGATCAGTTCGTGACTGACACTACGAAAATACAAACACTAAAGTGAATGTTTTGTTATTTTAAAATATAACATCAAATCAACTGAAAATCTCATGTCTGGGTGTTACATGAAAATCTTCGATTGCGGTGAGACTATAATTTATGGACAACCTTTGAGCGGCGTTATAGTGACCTTCTGAATATCCACCTACTAACTAGATCTAAATGAGGGTTATAAACTAGTGTGGAGAGTAACAGCTAACACGGTCTTGGATCAGAATTTCCTATTGACTACTGCTAACCACCTCATATATCAATATAGTGAACATACTATCGAGTCATTAAACTAGTATTCACATTGTAACTTGTTCGATAGAAATTGACCAAGTCTGAGATGAATTAAATGCAAATAACAATAGTCAATACTCAATGATTAATTACTTGTAGAATAGAACTGATGGTTACACTTTGGGCAACGCTGAAGTGGTCTCAAGAATATCCACCTACTGACCAGAGCTAAATGAGTTTGATAAACCTGTGTGAGAAAATAGAATTATGATATACAATTGATGCTGAGCGCTTAGGAATTAGATTTAAGGGTTTTTCGTCACGAACTCTATTTAACCAAATGGATGAATGAATTTCGCACCAAAATCCAAGATTATTCATCATAGATCTGATTGGTTTGTTCACAAATTATAGTCTTAACAAACTTCAGTCAGTCAGTCAGCTACAACGTAGGACCAGGCACATATATGCATCGGTCCAAGTTGCCATACCTCAATAACACAACAACTAGGATTACCGGGTAAGTAATAGTGAGGTTAGATGCAGGGTATTAGAGAATGATGGCAAATTAGTTGATAAGGTTGTGAA